CATTATCTTGCCCTGTCTTCTACTATAACAGGACTCCTACTGCAATCCATCCTTCCCTTTAGCTCCCATCTGTCACCTATTTCAATACACTGTCTTTACAGACTCTCTCCTACTTTTGACACACCCCCTGTAAATGTGCCAGTCAGCACATGCTGCCTCTCAGCTAATTGAGTGGCCAAGCAAACTGCCTCTTTAGCTGAGTGTTTTGCAATTACGGTTTGGTAACAAAGACTGGCACCAGGATGAAGGGGAGGGGTTCACAAGCACCTATGGGAATTTGATGACTGTAAAGAAATCACCTTAAAACTATACATGAAAACATGCTGAAATTTTACAGCTTACCCATTTCCTGTGGCAGTAAGAGTTGCTGATGTGATGTGGAACAGAAGGAAATACTATGTGGCAGTATTGGATAGCCTTTACAGGAAATCGTTAGCTTATTATATACTGAGGGTGGTAATCTGGCAGTGAGGTTCTATGTTCTGAGCTTTCCTCTGTATCATAAAACCCCCTGATGTTTGCCCACCATGTGCTATCAGTAGTGTCAACAGATATTACAGTGTACTACATCCTCCCTTTCAGTTGTTTGCATGCACAATTTTTTTCCCCTAAAGCATCTGCAGCATTACAATAAATAGCACTGTAGACTTCTCTTCAGCACAGCCCTCTGTAATGCTGCAGTCCCTTTGTCAAAAGGATGTTAAGTGTCTCTCTCACTGTGTGCAATAGTTGCAGGTCATCCATTTGATGGTCCTGCAGTGTTCTCCTCTCTTTTTCCTGTCCTTTCTCCACATACAACACCAGTCATTTAGGATCACATTTCTTTTATTTGCTTAAATTATTTCAGAGCTCTATATTTCAGGGAATGTTTGTGACTGCCTCTCCTTCTTCAGTTCCCTCACTTTTCTTTTTACATATCCCTCTGTCCTTGTGAGGATTCTTGTCTATATTTCCTATCTCACTAATTTCTCATCTCTCTTGTTTTCCTTCATCTCATCCAAGCCTGAAGGAGTTGAGAAGGAAACAACCCAGAATTCTGTGCTCTGTGTAAAAGGTAAAGCCCACTCTTTGCACACTCTCTAATTGTTCCTGTGTGGTTTGATGGATGGGGTGTTGGAGGCCTGTCTCTATCATATTCCATGTAGTCTGACATTTTTGGGTAGTCAAAACATGCCCCATTGGTAGGGAGTTTGGGACATAAGACAGAAGAAAGGCCTAAAGAATTGACCATCCTCCCTAAGTATCAGGGTATGAGCTAGGACAGATTTAGCAGGGAAGTTTGCATCCCTGCTCTCTTTTGTTCCAGCACTGGAGTCACAAGTCCTCTTGTTTTCTTGCACACTCAGGAGGAAGTTGTAGACACATGATTTGCAGTGCCTAGGAGTGGCTGGGAGTGGTTTTCATGCAGAGATTGTGTTCCAGCCAGGGAAAGATGAAGTAACTGAAATCAGGGCATTTCTAATATGAAGAGTTCCTGTTGTTGCACCCCCTCCCCTTCCATTAATGATTTCTTGGAACTGCACTCAAGCTGTTTGGGTCATTTCTTTCTCAGGAGTCCCTGTGAAAGAGGAGTTTTCCCTGTTGCTACCTGAAAATGTGGTACAAGACTCAGGCAGAGCATATTTCTCAGTGCTGGGTGAGTTAACAGCCTGACAGTAGAACCATGTGCTGTTTCTGACTCCTTGTGTTGACCTCCTACCTCACAGCTTTTTCTATTGGTTTCCAGCACAGCTCATTCTTGTCATTAATCTTGTCTGTCCTGAGCACTTTCCTGTCTGTGTGTGCTAATTCTTTTCCCTTTCTGCAAGCCTTTTTTTCTGTCTTCTCACAATACCCTAATCTTTCTCTCATTTCCCTTTTTTCTTTTTCTCTGATGTTCTGTGTTTTTCTCCAGGATCTTTATCAATCCAGATTATCTTTTGTTCTTCTCTGATATCTCCTGCATTTGTCATTCAGTAGCTTCCCCTGATTCTGACAGCTAGCCCTAAATATTGTTAACATTCCTCTGGTATCTCCTGCTCCTCAGGTGACATCATGGGCACTGCCATGCAGAACCTGCACCAGCTCCTCCAGATGCCCTTTGGCTGTGGGGAGCAGAACATGGTTCTGTTTGCACCCAACATCTACGTCCTGGACTATCTGAACAAGACAGGGCAGCTGAGTGAGGAGATCAAATCCAAGGCCACTGGATACTTAGTGAGCGGTGAGCTGGGACATGGATTTTGCTTCTGCTTTGGCTTTTTTTCGAGATCCTGCCTGGTGTAGGTCTGTCAGTGCTGGCCAGATGTTGAAAGAGGTCTTCTCTCATACACAGATGGTCTCTGCTGTATGCCTGAGGGGGCCCTTTGCTGCTTTTTTCTTTATTATTTTGTGTTGCTTAAGCATTACTGTACCTGATCATTGCAAGCACTTTTCTCATGAGGTGGCAATGGAGTGCAGAGTTGTTACTGCTACAGTCACTCATTCATTGTCATTTATAGGTCCTGCCATCCTTTTGAAGAAAGGCAGGTGTTGCTTTTCCTCGTTCATGGAGGTGGGGATGTACCAGCACTGCATATTGGTTAGGATAGGACTGACCTATGCCTCTCCCAATTGCTTTTGCTGTTGGAGCTATTTTTCTATTTCCCCATCCCTCAGCAGACTCTTTCTTGCATCTGAATCTTGCCTTATCTTTCTATTGCAGGTTATCAGAGACAGCTGAATTACAAGCACCAAGATGGTTCTTACAGTACCTTTGGACAACGTTATGGCCAACCAGGGAACACCTGGTGAGATTTCAATGCCACCTATGCATCTCCAACATGCTCCTCTTTCTCACCCACACGTTTATAATAAATACTGCCTGACAGGAAATAAGAAATGCTGTTGTAGACCAGCAGGCTTTCCAGAGCTGGTGTGATCCCTATGCTGCCTCCTTCTTAATATATAAGCTACATCAGCCAGCTTATGGTTGAAGTGCTTCCTCCCACCAGTGGCTCCAAGGACCATTACAGACAAAAAGGAGATAGAGATAAAATGGGGAAGAACGGAGCAGGGATTTAACACCCTGACTGAAGAAGGCTGAAAAGTTGCAGTGGCAGCTCTTCTAGACTAGCATCTGCTGAGAAGTCTGCTGGAAAATATGGTTCCATATGGAAACATATGAGGAAACACAAGTGGAAAAGTTGATAATCCAAGAGCAGTGCTGACTGTTTTTTTCCAAGTGTTTGTAAGCTACTGAGCAAAGACAGGCTGGAGGAGCATGTGTGTTGCCATTTTGACTTATTTAAAAGTTTTGACTTGGTCCTGTATATCATTGTCATGTGTTTTCAATTTTAAGTAAGGATAATAATGGAAGAACTCATCACCCTTAGTTTGCTTTTAGTTTCTGAAATGGTAATTGGCTTTTGACAGTATGTTGGCTTTTTACCACATGCCTGCTTCTTTTCCATAACTGCTTGCAACAACTCTTAACAAAAACTCTTTTAACATGTTCTGCTTTACTTTAAAATTCTAGGGGAGTTCTGGGAAATCCATGAAGCATGGATTTACATTTTAAGAGTTCTACCAGCAGACCATGAGCTTGCAGGAATTTAATTATTCTTCCTTGTAATTTTGAGTACTTCGGTTATCCATATTTAGCTAATTGGCATGCAATTACTGATATTTTTCGAAGAGATTTTTTCAAAGACAAATCAACAATCATTGTCCTTCAAACTGTAGCCTCAACACAAAGAGATCACAGGGTTTTTTGAGCCAAAAATGAGAGACCAAAATAAAAGTGGAAAAAAATTTTTGACAAAAGTTTTTGAGGTGAGGATATAATATACATATGGTCTGACTAATTGGCCCACAGTTTCCCAGACCCTCTTGCATTTTTCCAGATAGATGAAGTGCACATGGGCCTCTCAAGTGAAATGGGCAACAGGCCTGCTCAGGCCCTTTCTTTTTCTCACTTTCAGGCTCACAGCCTTTGTCCTCAAGTCCTTTGCCCAGGCCCGGCCTCACATCTTCATAGAGGAGAAGCACATCCAGGATGCTTTGCACTGGCTGTCCTACAAACAGAAGGAGAACGGCTGTTTCCAGAGTTCTGGGACACTCCTGAACAATGCCATGAAGGTAGCAAGTCTGCCTGGTTGTTTCTTTGTGAGGCTAGAACTTGGCCATGTGTCATATGGGGCTAGTTGAGCTTCGTGAGCACAGAGGGAGAGGGGATATTCCCATGCCAATGGCAAATGCTGGGAAGGGAGCTACACGCCATTCTGTATTTATTGGAGATGTCTTCACATCAGCTGTAAGAAGAAGGAGGCAAGCTAAAGGACTGCAATACAGAGTAATGCACTGCTCCTACTGGAGTGTGAGAAAAGACTGAGGATGTGAAGGTGGGTGGGGTCAGCATCTACCTTTATGTTTCCCTGCAGGGAGGAGTGGACAACGAGGCCACGCTGACAGCCTACATCACTATCGCCTTGCTGGAGATCCCGCTGCCTGTGACTGTACGTGCCTGCATCCTAACTTGAGCCAGTTGTGCTCTGTCAGCCAACACAGTATTGACCAGAACTTGCTCCAGATTGGAAAAATGACTTGGTTGTTGAGCCCAGTGATATAAGAACTGTCACATTTGCTGTATCTGGGAAACATTGTACCCCACTTGTTTCTAGATCTCCTTTGGGCAGTCCCATCCTGAAAGTTCAGTAGGATGATGTGCTTTCAGTAAGGCAAAAGCCTCATTTCTCCCCACTCTCCTAATCACTGTCTTCCTTTCCCCAGTACTCAGTGGTGCGGAATGCTCTGTTCTGCCTGGAAACAGCAGCAAATCAGAAAGAAAACCACGTGTACACCAAGGCCCTGCTGGCATACGCCTTTGCCTTGGCAGGGAACAGGGAGAAGCGGAAGGCATTGCTTGACTCACTTGAAAAGGAAGCTGTGAGAAAGGGTGAGTGTTCCAGGTGGGGCAGTGTGGAAGTGTGCCCAGCTCTGAGTTGATGTGCGTTGGATCTTTGTTGCTTGGTTCCTCAGTTACACAGGGGAGCGCAATGTCTCCAACATGGTGATTGTTGATGTGAAGATGCTGTCAGGATTTGTCCCCTTGAAGTCCTCAGTGAGGAAGGTAAGAGCTTGTTTTTCATACAAGCAACATTGAATCATAGAGTCATTAAGGCTGAAAAGGATCTCTATGTACAACCTTCCACCAAATAGCACCATACTAAGTTATTATCATATCACAAAATGCCCCATCTACTGTTTTTTTAAACTTTTCCAGGAATAGGGAATTCACCACTTTCCCACAAAGGCCGTTCTAATGCTTTATCCCTCTTTCAGAGAAACAATTTCTCCTAATATTCAACATGAATCTCCCCTGCCACAATCTGGGGACATTTCCTGTTGTTCTATTACTATTTGCCTGGGAGGAGAGACTGTCCCTCCCTCGCCTTGCTGCAACCTCCTTTCAGGGAGTTGTAGAGAGCAATAAGGTTCCCTCGAGCCTCCTTTTCTTCAGACTAAACAATCTCAGTACCATCAGCCACTTCTCATAAGACTTACATTCCAGTCCTTTTTCCAGGATCATTGTCTTTGGAGTTGCTCCAAGGTCTGAAGCGAGGGGTCCAAAACTGAGTTCAGAATTCAATGTGCAGCATCACCAGTGCTGAATACAAAGAGAAAACATCCACTTTTTTTATATTCATGACACCTTTTGAATGTCTGTAGCGAGCGACATAGCTTCAGCTTGATTTTGTCACTGTCGTTTGCACATTTGATTTTTACAGTATCCTCTTTTCATACATGGCTTAAAGCCAGCTCAAGGGGAGACGACGTGATCAGTCTAAGAAAAAATATAATAAATAATTTTTTCTTTAGACTGATGATGGGCACTTTTATTTTCACTGTGTCCCAACAGCTCCCCATAAACATTGTCTGTGCACAGTGCATTCAAAAGTAGTGCTGTTTCCTTTTTCCCTTTGCTGATCTAAAAACATCTTGTAACATTGTGACTCTTTAGGTGTTGGGTGACTGTTTGAGATGCTGATTAGGTGCATGAACTGGAAAATAAAGTGGTGCACAACTAGCAAGCCAGAAGGAACGTATTTTCATTTAGTTGTTCCATCACTGTGTTTGATCCAATGCTGAGGCTCTTCTGGAGCCAGGTTGTGTTTCCTCAGCCAGCCTGGCAAAGGGAGGGCTGGAGACCATGATATTTGTGTGGCACACCCAGGAGGCAGCTCTGTGCTGCTGGCTTAGTTCCCTGAGTACTGCAGTATTTCATCCAGAGTACATCCCACCCACAGGGCTGTGCAAGGGACACAGGGAGACCTCCTTCAGTGCAGTGACCTCTTGGTTTTCTTTCTTCAGCTGGAAGGCCACCCTGTTGTTGAGCGCACAGAGCTGAATACCAACCACATTCTGCTATACCTGGAAAAGGTGAGGATGGGGCAGAAACACAGGCATGGAGAATTTTGGCTGCATAGAGCAAAAATCTGGGACTCAAAACTACCATGGCTCTGCTAAAAATGGGACTGAATAATTTACTATCTTTTACTGACTATAAACTTAAAGTTTTTAGACTTAATGCTACTTCTCTCCAAGCCCTCAGCCAGCATTCCCTCAACCCTGTGCACAGATTTCCCCAGCAGCAGAGCCTCCCCGAGGATGGGGAATGGTCCCAGTGTTTGCTTCTGCCCCTCAGCCAGCCCTACAGTCCTGTGTCCCCCCGGAGCACGGGTGGCTGGGGAGAGGATGGGAGCCTGGGGACAGAGCAGAGACACAGGGGAGCCCCTGCAGGACAGAGCCCCCCTGAGCCTCTACTGCTTCCCTTCCCCAGCTGGGCAGGGACACCCTGAGCTTCTCCTTCACGGTGGAGCGGGACATCCCCGTGCGGGGCCTGAAGCCAGCCCAGGTGAAGGTCTATGACTACTACGAGACAGGTGAGTGCTGCAAGTGGGTGAGGCTGGGCAGGGGGACACAGGGAGGGCCTCAGGAGCTGTGGGGACCCGCAGCTGCCCCAGCCTGGCACTGCCACCCCAGCCATGCCCTGAGCTTTGGGAGTGCCATGGATGCTGGTCCTGTGTTCATTTCTGGCCCTGCAGTGTGGCTGTGCCTGTGCTTCCAGGCACACCTGCTGCTCCTTGTGCCTCTGCTGTCCTGGCTGCTGTGCCAGGGTGGCAGTGACAGAGCTCTCTGTGTCCACCTCAGCCCTGTGTGCTGGGAGGAGGTGTCTGAGCAGCCCTTGGCTATGCTGGCAAGTAGACCTGCTGGAGCTGCCTGTGCGGGTGGCTCTGCCTTGCTGCCACTGCCCCCAGACAGGGCTGGGACTGGGGCTACCCCCACCCCAACTGGGATCTCTGGGGAAACTGGGGATGGAGGCACCAGCCTGCTCTGGGGGTCTGGGAAAAGCATGTCTGTGGCACCCATTCCTCTGCCAGCAGTGCCAGGGATCATGACAGCTCACTCTCCCTTCCCTTCTGTTTCCAGATGAGTTTGCCACACAGGAATACAGTGCTCCCTGCACCACAGGTAGGTGCACATGAACAACTGAGATGCTTCAGCAGGGACTGTTGCAAGTAGTCTTGAACTAGAGTCTTTGCAGACCTTGTGTTTTCTTGGCCTGTGTCTACTCTGCATTTTCCTCACTGTGCCTACTGCAGTCCCCATGCCAGTACAGAGACCAAAAGCAATGCTGCCACCCAACTTCGTCTTTAAGATCAGATACAGCTTTCACTTTCCTTCCCTGCATACAGCAATCTCACTGTTTCTGCCTTTGTTTCTACAGTGGCAATTGTCTTTTCCTCTGTGTTAGTGTCACTGTATGCAAATAAGATTCAGGTCTCCCTTGGGATGGAACATCACACTCAGCCTTTTGTGTCTCTGCCCTTTTTACGGCCACATCTGCTATGCTGCAGACACTGAAAGGTACTGAGGAATTGTCTCCCAAATACCTTGGTGAAATGTTAGTGTTATTCACATCTCTTTAATGAGGACCTTTCAAACTCTTCCCTGGGTTAATTTGCTTTCCCATGGGAAATGCAGCTGCTGAGAGCGAATGTGTGTTTGGATAGCTCATGTATTTTCAGGATGAATCTGCCTCCCCTCTCTGTAGCATAGATATTTTGAATGTGTCCAGTCATTCCCATTCTGTTATCTGTCTGCAACTGTACATTTTTAGGTGAAGCAGTTTCTCATAGTTTAACAGGCTTGAACTCACATAGCCACCAGAACACAGAGATATCCAGGGCTCTGGGTACCACTCACCAGAATATTTATCTCACTTGTCCTTTTCCCACCTCCAGCTGAGGAAGAACAAGGAAATTCCTGAAGAATGCATCTTGTCGGAGCCTTGCTGTATCACTCATGTGTTTCTGCTCCTAGAAGATCTTGTTAAGGGAGTGGTATTGAAAAGTTAGAGGAGGACACCTCAAAAGCAAAAAGGAAGCAACACTGTAAATAAATTAATTCTTGATTCTCATCAGATGTCTCTGACCTTGTTTTCTATTACTGTTATGCTTCTGTTATGCTCTTCCTATCCATGTCATGGCCTGAGATTACAATCCAGAGCCATCCATGGCAAGGTGGTGTTTGGGAACTCCTCAGGAATACCAGAAGGCAGACAGCTTTTGGTAGTTGGGAGATTTTTCTCCATACTTGCCAGTTGTTTAAGGAGAGAGGACATCGTATCTCATTCATTATGCACTGGGAGTTTGTCACTCTGCATTTACAGAGAGTGTTTTCTGCAAGGTGATCCTCAGACATAAACCTCTAATCACATATTGCCTTTGACTGCACTGTGAAATCACTGCTGGGAGGTGCAAGGACGCTGTGAACCTGTCCAATCTGATCTTTTGCAGCAGCCCAGATAGAAGTGAAGACCTGTGGACTTTCCCATTCTAGCAGGTTCTGCTTGTTTCTAAACAGCTAAAGTAAAATCACAGAGGGACTGGGACTTTAACAGTGTCATTCATGGAATTTTTTAGGTTGGAGAAGGCTTTAAGATCAAGTCCTACCATAAACCCAGCATTGCTCAGTCCACTGCTAAACCACGTAGGGTTGCATGGGGTTGTTGTGACCCAAGTGTGGGCCCCAGCACTTGGCCTCACACCACTGACCTTGACCCATGCATCCAGCTGGTCCAGATCCCTCTGCAGAGCCCTCCTGCCCTCCAGCAGATCCACACTCCCATCCAGCTTGATGTTTCCTTCAAACTTACTGAGGGTGCCCTTGATCCCCTCAGGTCATTGATAATTAAGCAGGAGTGGTCCCAACACTGATCCCTGGGACCCCACTGGTGACCAGCTGGATGTAGCTCCATTCACCACCTCTCCCTGGGCCTGGCTATCCACACAGCTTTTTACCCAGCAAACAGTGCACCTGTCTGAGCCATGAGCAGCCAGATTCTCCAGGAGAATGCTGTGGAAAATTGTGTCAAAGGCTTTACTGAAGTCTGGGTAACCTACATCCACAGCCTTTCCCTTATCCATTGAGTGGGTCACCTTGTCGTGGAAGGAGATGAGACTGGTCAAGCAGGACCTGCCTTTCCCAAACCTCTGCTAGCTGGGTCTGATCACCTGGTTCTCCTATATGTGACACATGATGGCACTCATTTTGCCAATCTTAGGCAAAAATTCAACCAACAACCACTTTATGAGCAAAAACCCCTTTCATTTTTCATAAGAACTTTATAATCTTTCCCTCAGTGGAGGTCCATAGATCTCCTCTGGGTTGTCTGAGTAATTTTTAAAACTCTTTTTTTCTCCTTCACAAGTAGGCTTACAATGCTCCAGCAGATTTCAGTGGGGAGGATCTGGATTCACATCTCGTAATTTGGGCTAAACATTTTTCATGTACATTTTCCAAATGATTATATTTTCTCTGGTCTAGATGTCTCACATGGATGCAGAGGCAGTCAGCCTCAGTTCAAGAGGTCATATGGCACCATGTGTGTTTTACTTACATGTTTCTATGTACAGAGGTGCTTTTCACCCTGCCAAAGTAAGCTTGAGCAAATACATCTATAGGAGTCCCTCTTGTAGCTTATTTCACAGATACAGACCATCCTTTCTCTGGAAAAGAAATTGCCTTATGGTAGAAAAAATAGATGGCTATATTATTTCTAATTCAAAACAAAAGGCAATTTAGTTGTGTTATGAATTTTGCTCATCTGTCACTGAAGCTGGTTCATTCCACAGTCTCCTCTGAATATGAGGTGTCAAAAGGCCTTGAGTGTGTAAAGCCCAAACATAACAGAAGACAAAGTGACATAATATTAATATCTAGCAGAATAGATGAAGAATTTTATTTGTTGTCAATGACACTGTTTGTGCAGGTACACTAAACCAAAAATTGGATGAAACAGCCAACTGTTAATACTTTGGATGCACAACATGCCATGATACCTAACAGTAAGCATTTAATGAGAATAAACAGGCTCATAAGATTTTTTTTGCATTCAAAAGTTAAAACCACAAATTCTTGAGACAAAACAAAGAAAGGGGGATCATTCCTGGGGGTGCCTAAGAGGCCTATAGACAGTTTCATCAAAGGAGCTATGTGATTTAAATGAATGTACCATTTAAACTAGGCTTAGGCAGGTAGGTTAGTGGCAAATGCCATTAGCTTCTCCTTGGGAATCTCCCAGAAGTAGCAGACATGAGACAATGGAAACTTCCACAAGAAGGAACAAGCATTGTAAGGCAGCAGCCGAAGGCATAATGCAGGCACACATCCCTCCTGCCCCCCTGGCACTCTCTAATATTGAGGAGAGCAGACTCTGTCTCCTCCCACTCTTCTACAAACAAGAAACCATCCCAGGAGGGGTGTCTACAGGGAAGAAAACAGAGGCTGAATTTTATGTAACATTAGTTGATCTTCCAGGCTGCCTAATGGTGGGATAGGCCTCTGCAGAGACCAGTTCAATGGAGGATATGGTTTGTAAGCCAGGGGAGAGAAATTGTTCCCAAGAACTACCTGTCCTTCTCCATTGATTAGACTGCATACAGATGATAAGTTCAGAGATCATAACACAGAGACAGATACATTAGAAAGGCTGACCCCCACTTAGATAATTCTGTCCTCTTTTTTTCCCCCTCACTTGTTAGCCTTATTTCCCTGCACAGAGGCATTGTTAGATGGGTTACTCTTTAACATAAGAAGCCAGGGAGATTAAAGCTGTGACAGAAAGATGAGCAGGAAAAATCAGAACTGGGAACAAATTGTTCAAAAATCATTGGTGAGTACAGTTAATTTATTTGTAAAGTTCACTTTCCATTCCATGCAGGCATTATTAATGTCATGCTGTGGTGGTGGTGAGGCAGGCAGGTTCCAGCATCTGGGAGTGTTCTTCAGTCATTTCCCTGGTCTGCTTCCTCTGCAAGGATGAAAGAAGATGGGAGGGAACAGGAGTCAGAGGGATATGTCTATCTGCTTTCTAATGTTGAGAAACAGAGGGAGCAAGATGTGGATGTGGAAGCCAGGTTGTGTGTGAAGCACAGTACAGGAGAGAGAGCTGCTGTTTTATCAGGGGGGAGGGTCATCCACAGCACTCACTACTTGTGTCACCTTCAAGGCAGTGTGAGGTTGAGAGAGGGCTGAAATTCCCCCTGACCCACTGGGAGAGATAAGCAGAGGGATTTGTCACAACTGAGATGTGCAAGGGAGCAAACAGGAAAAGCTGGTCAGTGTAGCACTGAGACACATTCTGTTTATTTCTCTGCAAAGAGTGGAAGAAATCTACTGCACTCTATTGCTCTGCTATACAGGGCAGGGAGGGAAGCTTGGCAACTGAGATCTGCCTTCTAGTCAGTGCAGGCCACCTCTGTACATTTAGACTAGTGGACGAGCCTCTTAAGTAGCAATTTCCCATCACACTTTCCAAGGAAGATAAAATCTCGGCCTTCTAACAGAACTGGGGAAAAGTAGCCTAAAATCTAAGGTCTCCCCATGAGTCTCACACTGGACAACCAGACCACACTAAAACACCTTTTGGAAATGTTTTACTGTGCACTCGTGTTTGGACTTATGAACATTTTTCCATGAAGGGAGACTGTAGGTCCAGAATCAGCAGAAAACAGCCGTTCCTATGGACACACCTCAGATTAACAAACACTATGGAATATCAGTGTGGGAGTTCAGACTCTTCTGCTTTTTCAGTTAGAAACACTAAATGAGATAAATGCCACCATTTACCACCAGCAGAAGGCAAAGCTTTTACCTTCTCCAAGTCCAAATCACTTTTTCTCTGTTTTCAGTTGTCACAGTCAGGTCCTGCAAAAAACCATTTCCCAGGAATTCTGCTTTCCAGAAGCCTCCATATTCCAAACACCTGAAACTGGGCAATGGATGGGAAGCAAGACCTGCCAGTCTTCATATTGGAAGACTCCATATAGGAGAGGAGAAATAGCCTTGGCCAGAGCTTTTTACAGAAGCTCCTAAATTACCTGGGCTCCTAAGCCTTGCATTGCAGAGAATCCCCCAAAGATGACAGTATTCTGTCCCGACAGCTCAGCCTCCAAGTGGGTACTGAGGGCTGCCTGCCCAGGGTTATGAGGCACAGCTTTTTCCTGAGAGGCCCTGGGGCAGCAGGAACCTGAGCAGGAAGCAGCAGTTCCTCCAGACAGTAGAAACCAAAGGCAAACTTGCCATCTCTGTAACACCTATGCTCTTTATTTTACACGCCAGATCTGTACCTGTAAGTTGGACCAACGTCATCCAAATTCAAACAGGAAGAGACAAGTGCTGGCTGGAAGACCAAAAATATAATGGAGAAAATGCAGAGAGCAGTGAAGGAAGCAGTACCCTACCTGTGGTGCAGGGAGCACTGTATTCCTGTGTGGCAAACTCATCTGGAAACAGAAGGGAAGGGAGAGTGAGCTGTCATGATCCCTGGCACTGCTGGCAGAGGAATGGGTGCCACAGACATGCTTTTCCCAGACCCCCAGAGCAGGCTGGTGCCTCCATCCCCAGTTTCCCCAGAGATCCCAGTTGGGGTGGGGGTAGCCCCAGTCCCAGCCCTGTCTGGGGGCAGTGGCAGCAAGGCAGAGCCACCCGCACAGGCAGCTCCAGCAGGTCTACTTGCCAGCATAGCCAAGGGCTGCTCAGACACCTCCTCCCAGCACACAGGGCTGAGGTGGACACAGAGAGCTCTGTCACTGCCACCCTGGCACAGCAGCCAGGACAGCAGAGGCACAAGGAGCAGCAGGTGTGCCTGGAAGCACAGGCACAGCCACACTGCAGGGCCAGAAATGAACACAGGACCAGCATCCATGGCACTCCCAAAGCTCAGGGCATGGCTGGGGTGGCAGTGCCAGGCTGGGGCAGCTGCGGGTCCCCACAGCTCCTGAGGCCCTCCCTGTGTCCCCCTGCCCAGCCTCACCCACTTGCAGCACTCACCTGTCTCGTAGTAGTCATAGACCTTCACCTGGGCTGGCTTCAGGCCCCGCACGGGGATGTCCCGCTCCACCGTGAAGGAGAAGC